TTTTTTTTTTTTGGCTTTTTAAATCTAAATAAAAAAAATGATACCTTTTTAGCTTATAAAAAATAAATTATCTTCTTAGTAACCTATCCTTTATAATTCAATAATTTTTTATTTTATTTTGTTTTTTTTTAATATAATTCTAATTAAAAAAGTGTATTACAAAAAAAACTGGAATAAAGTAAATGGCTATAACTTCACTTTAAGAATATAAATTCATAATAATTTTTTTTTTATTTGAGAACTAGAAACCAGCTCTTTTTATTAATATAAATTAATAGGAGATTTGTTTTCCATTATTATTGATAATTACTAGCTCACAATGTTATTTCATTGAATTAGCAAGATTCTTTATCACAGTATCTGGAATTGCTGACTATTCCTCCACCATAAAACTCTTTAATTCATTGAGATTTTTCAGTATTTAATGATTCACATTTTCCTTAATAATAGCCTATAACTTTTCTATCAGATTTAAGTTAGGACTATTTGAGAACTAGTTCAGAACTTCAGACATTACATATACAACTTAGAGAGTAACTTTTTATGCAAATACAGCTCAGTAACCTTTATCTTTATTAAATTTATATAAGAATTTCAAAATAAACATAAGAATATGTGGAATTCAAAATAAAGTAACTAAAAACAAAAGCTAAATAGTCTCCAAAAAAATACAAGTTTAAAAAGCTAATTAAAGAAAAGAAAACTATTATAAACTATAATAATTTCCAGATTGTTTTCCAAAATATATCTCAAAATTAGTAAATGCAACTATACTATAAGAACTACTTTTTAACAACTTCTTTTAAAAACACTATACAAGGTTGGATAACCAGTGAATCTTTTAGTGTATAGCTAACAGAAGCAAATTTTATTAGATTAATTAAATAGACAATTCACTTAATAAACTCTAAGGTCCATTAAAGAGAAAGTTATACTTAAATTCTTCATATTGAAATCAGATAAAGATGGATATACATGTATAAGTAATTTGATTTACTAGCACAGAACACTGAAATATATATATAATTTATGGAGTTAGATATTGATTTGCATATAATCTGAAATTTTTTTAATTATGATCAGACTATTAAAATGCATATTTTTAACTGGTTTTTTGTTTAAATAAGGGTTTATTTTAAATATATTTTATTAATGAGATAAATAAAATAAATATATAGTGACTCACAAAAGTAATGAGTAATATTTAATAAAGGTGATAGTTATCCACTTTTGTTATTTATACCTAAGGTTGCAGACGAAACCCCATAATAAAATCGAAACTTGACAAAACTATATTAAAATATTAATAAAAATTTGGCGAAATTTGACTATAAAAATCATATGAAATGACAAAACTATAATAAACTCTTATAAAAAAATTGACAAAACTGAGGTTTAGACGTTTTGCCAAATTCAAAAACCAGTTTAGCCTGCAACCTTATTTATACCCCTACAATAAAATTGTTATGTGATTGAATATTTATTATTTAATAAATTTTACTGCATTATTCAGAAAAAATATATGAAATAATAATCTTATAATTTATTATGAAATCAAGTCACAATAAATCTAGATTATTTTACATTTTATTGTACTTTATTTTAACAATTTTTTTTTAAAAAATTATTATCTTTAATTATCACTGGTCAAAAAAAGGAAAATCAGGTGAATTTCCTACATCTAATAATTCTATTGTTTAATATCAATTTTGAATTGAATTAAATCTAATAGATCTATACATAACTTAACCGATTTGTGACTTAGATCAGATATCTTTGATGTGAAATTTGATTAAGTCATATCAGGTATATATGAAGTCGAAATTAAAGCCCAAAAGTAGAAATATTTTGACTTGGGAAGGTCAAAAGTCGAAATTAAAGTCAAAATGGTCAAAATTACATTATAGTCATGTGATTTTTATAATTATAATTTAATATAAAATTTTAAACGTGAATAACTCTGTCAATATTGATGCTATAGATATGAAATACATATCATTGGAATCCTCTCGATGAGCTAAATCCAACCGTGTAAAGATTAAAAAATTCAAATCACTAGATGTGGAGTTCATTAACTTTGAATTTTAAAATTATTGTTTACTATAAAAATTATAAGACTATTTAATACCAAATTTTAAACGTGAATAATTCCGTCAATATTAATGCTATAAATATGAAATACATATCATTGGAATCCTCTCGATAAGCTAAATCCAACTGTACTAGGGAAACGGTAAATTGTTACGTAGTCCGGAGCTCGTCACATGATTTGTAATCATCTAGACGCTGAGAGGATAATTAGCTAAGAAATGTCACAGTCAAAGGGGGAATCAATGTATCGAGAAAAGTTTAATTAAAATATAATTTATCTGAATACAGCATAGGGTAGAAAATAATAATAAATTTAGTTGAAATAATTAGATAATTGTGTTGGCTAGTGATAAAATAAATCAATTAATGTATGAAACAATCATATTTTAATAAATAAAGAACAATTAGAACAGAACAATTTGAACGTCAAAGCCACAAAATCACAATGTCCCAAATAACAATAAAATCACACACTAATTTTTATTTTCTCACTATAAAATAAAAGATAAAAACTAAATAAGATGAATAAATTTTACTAATACAGGTATTTTGATAAGGACAAAAAAAAATCCAAGACACCAGAACATCAAGAGGCTCATCTGAGAAAAAAATATAAAATAAAAATATAAAAATGAATGATTCCACTAATCCAGAAACTATACGAAAACGAAACAAAAAAAAACAAGAGACAAATGAACAGCGATCAAAACGTCTTGCACGAGAACGAAAATTAAAAAGGCAAAAAAGAGCAAGGGAAACAGAACAACAACATGAGGAGCGTCTTCAAAGTATTCGGGAAGGAAGAAAAAGGAAAAAGATGACGGAAACTAACAGTGATCGGGAAAATCAGAAAAATAGGGAAAACCAACGTAGAAAAGCTGCGCGTAAAAGAACCCGTAAATTAAAAAACCGAAATGTATTAAAAGGAAGAAACATCAACCAACAAACACGACAAGATCATGAAGGACGAGAAATAGAGGAAGCTTACGTTGATAACGAAGATTATGGCGCAGTAAAAATCACGTGATTCAAAAATCAGATGATTAATTAGTAGATCAATCATTATGTAATCAAATAATTTTGTAAATCTGATTAACGTTACAATTGTTATTTTTGTTATTTATATTATTTATGTTATTTTTATTATTTTTATTATTTCTTTTATTTATTACATTTATTTTATTTACTTTATTT